AGTAAATATTTTTTTTGTCTGCGAGAGATCAGCAGATGGGAACCTGACTGAAGGCAAAAGATTAAATTGGTTGACTTTTATTTTTCCTTGAGTATATTAATTTGATTTTGGAGTCAATTTATATGAGAGTTCATCAAGACACAGAAATTTTTAGCGCTTCTCTTGTTTAAAAGTATAGTGATACACCATATCTCTATCTCACATTCTTTTTATTTCTGATAGTTCGACACAAAAGATACGTCAAAATCATAGATAAATGTAAATTATTTAACTACTTTTTTGATTATGTAAAATTACCTTATAGAATTACATTATAGAATTTCATAAATTTTAGGATTATGCAGAATCAACGTGCATGTATCATATTACACTCACTACTGAAAGGACTACTCTGTCATTCACCATAGTTCAGTCTTTCCACTTTGATTATACTTCTCGATCTGGTAACTAAATAGTGTCATAGTTCTAAAGTTTGTTTTTATTGCTTTGAAAAGATCAAAATTATGCAATTTTCAACATTGGATGAAACTAGAGGATATCATGCATGTAAAGTTAGCCTTAAGGAAAGGAACAGATACAGAGAGATTTTTCTCATATGTGGGATGTAAAGACACACAGCAAGGTAGCAACAAAGGTTCAAGAGCAATGTCAGGGGAGAACTGATCCACACAATTGAGTCAGGGGATTGAGAGTGAGGGATTCTGGGGGATTGGGGTAGAGGGAGGGTTTATTCTTTGAGAGAATGAGGAGTGAGAGTCATGTTGGAATTATGTGTATGAGAAACCATTGTTATTGAATTATAAATCACAGAATATAAATAATGTTTTAGACGTTTGTCTGTCTCATTTTATTCTTTTAATTTGTTTTCTCCATATGCCACATATGCATGAACTTGTAGGATGCCTATCTTTCTCTGCCTGGTTTATGTCACTAAACATAATTTCCTCATGTAATCCATTTTATATACAAATAATAAGAAGATTTCACTTCATACAACTGAGTAGTATTCCATTGCTTTACCACCTTTCATTTTCAAAATTTGTGGTTTAAAAGATACAAATATTGGTTTTAACAATGCTCTGGTGTTTTAAAATTTTTAGTTTAGTGAAGCTAAATAGATTTTACTGAAAAACACTCAGAAACTTGTGAAACAGGTGTAGGATGGAATGGAATATTTGTTCAAGTGAGAACAGTCATTTGACAAAGCAAGCAAAGAGAGACTTAGAGAAAGGAAGCACGGTATTTCTTCTTATGAGAACAAAAGCTTGAGGAACAAGCCCACTCTGGTAGTTTAGGAATAAGTACTTGGAGTTGTATGAACTTTACCTTTGCACTTTAGGGGAGAACCTGAGTGAAACTCTTAGAAGTACTTTCAGGAGCATGATAAACTGGAGTCTGCAGTTGGAATGAGGTGGGTAGAGAGTTCTTTGGGGAGATCTGAACTATGGAGAACAGTAATATTATAATATTAATGATAGTATCTTACCGTGGGATTCCAAAAAATCTGTAACAGTGGCGTCAGAAATGATAACATTCTTAGGTATTTGGATTTCCTGTGGAAACAACGGGAAAGCTGAGTTTATGCTCTGGATGCCTCCACCTGAAACAAGGTCAACAAATCATGAATGAAAAATTACAAGTTACATGGATCAAGGATTCTGATCTCAGTGGAAGGCTAGCTTTCGGGTGGACAATTTCTACTGATGGCCTGATGTAGGTTCTGATCCTGGGATACGTAACAGAAAGGAGGTAGTGACAGGTATCCTCAGAAGTGAAGCCTCTGAGACAGAATTCATTCATGACAACTTATGGGTTATCAAAGTTTGCTCATGGCTGCTACCATTATAACATGCCATTCAATGGGTCTGTGGTTTCGATTTACTGTGTCAATGTAAACATGAAGTTTCTAAATCGAAGGTAAAAATCTGAGGCCCTCAAGATGATGAATTATGGAGAGGGGGGGATCTGGAGCGATAGTTCAGCAGCTAGTGCATTTGCCTTGCACACGGCATACCCAGGTTACATTCCCAGCATCCTGTATGGTCCCCCCAAGCACCATGAGGAGTAATTCCTGAGTGCACAGCCAGGAGTAACCACTGTGCATCGCCACGTGTGACCCAAAAACGCAAGAAAATGATGATCTGGGATTGATCCTTAGCATTTCAAACAGCATTATTTTCTAATTTTTAATTTTTTTTCTTTCTTTCTTTCTTGCTTGCTTGCTTTTTTGTTTCCCTTAGCTTTAAAGTCATGAAGGGATCTTCCCACATTTTTCTCCATATATCTTAAGAATTCAGGTATGATAGTGAGGTCTTTAAGACATTTGATCTGACTTTGTGCCTGGCACTATAAAGAGGTCTGAGTTCATTTTTTTGCATGTTGCTGTCCAGTTTTCCCAGCACCAGTTGCTGAAGAGACTTCCTAGCTCAACTTCATATTTCTGGAGCATTTATGAAAGATTAGGTAATAATAATCTGAGGGCCAGCGTCAAGATATTTGACTATATTCCATTGATCTGAGGCCTGTCTTTATCTGAATATCATGGTATTTGGATGACTACAACTTTGTAGTAGGGATTGAAGTTGGGGAAGGTGTTCCCTTCTTCTTTTTACCAAAGATTGCTTTAGCTCTTCATGGGAGTTTATGGTTGTGTATGAGTTTCAAGAGTGTTTAATCTATTTATTTAAAAAATGTTATGGGTATCCTTTTAGAAAGTGCATTAAATCTTTATATAGCTTTTGGGTGTATTACCATATTGACAGTGTTAAACCTCTCAATCCATGAGCATGGGATGTGATTCCATTTCCTCATATACTCTCTTATTTCGTGAAGTAGTGTTTTGTAGGTTTTTTTTTTTTGGTACAGTTCCTTAACCTTTTTAGTTGATTCCAATATACTCGATTTTCTGAGGTATTATTGTGAATGGGATTGTTTTTCTCTATCTCTTTTTTTCTCTTTCATTATTAATATATGGGAAAGCCATGATTTTGTAATATGCTACTTTACTAAACAAATCTATTGTTCCCAGGAGCTTTTTTGGAGATTCTTTGGGACTTTCTAAGTATAGTATCATGTTATCTCCAAATAGTAAAAGCTTGAGTTCTTCCTTTTTTATATGGATGCCCTTGATATCTTTTTTTTTTAACGAAATCATATGGCAAGTACTTCAAGTACTATGTTGTATAGGAGTGGTGAGAGTGGGTAACTTGGTTTGTGCCTGATTGTATTCTGGAATTCTATTTCATTGATTTCTGCTCCAAGCCTTTAGTTTTCTCCCCGTTGAGAATAATGCTTGCTGTGGGTTTGTGGTAGTTTGCTTTGACTATATTGAGGAAAGTACTTTCAACTCCCATTTTGTTGAGAGTTTTTCATCATGAATGGGTGCTGGATCTCATCAAATGCTTTATCTACATCTATTGATATGATCATATGACTTTTTTCTTTATTTTATTGAGATGGTGTATTCTGTTGATTGACTAGAGAATGTTAAGTCATCCTTGCATCCCCAAGCTAAACCTACTTGGTCATAGTGTGTGATCTTTTGTTGAGTTTCTAGATTCTCTTTGCTGGTATTTCTTGAAAATTTTTGTATCTGTATTCACAAAGGAAATAGGTCTGCAATTTTCTTTTTTTGTGGTGTCTCTGTCGATTTGAGTATTAGGGTGATCTTTGCCTCATAGAAACTGTTTGGGAGTATTTCTGTTTCTTCAATTTCCTGGAAAATCTTAAAAATGTTGGAAGCAGTTCCTCTTTAAAGGTTTGAAATATTTCACTATTGAATCCATCTGGGCCCTGGATTCTGTTTGGGGGTAAAATTTTGACCATCATTTCAATTTCCTTGTTAGTGATAGGTTCAAGTATTCCAAATCTTCTTAGTTCAGCCTTGGTAGGTAATTGGAATCCAATAATTTATCAATTTTTTCAAGATTCTCTCATTTCCTGCTGCAAAGATTCTCAAAATAATCTCTGATGATCCTATGGATTTCTGTACTTTCTATTAGGATACCCCCCTTTGCATTTCTGATTCGATTTATTAGAATTCTTTCTCTTTGTTTCTTTGAGAGGCTTCTCATGGTTTAATGATCTTATTTATTTTCTCAAAGAACCAGTTTTTGTTCTTATTGGTCTTCTGGATTGTATTTTGGGATTCTAGCTCATTGATGTCTGGTACAAGTTTTATTATTTCCTTCCTCCAGCCTAGTTTGGACTACTTTTGTTGGTTATTTTCCAAAATCTTGAGCTCTAATTTATTCATGTAGGCCCTTTCTTTCTTCCTGATGAATTCTGGCAGAGCTATAATCTTTCCTCTTAACACTGCTTTTTCTGTGTCCCACAAGTTCTGGTAGCTCGTGTCCTCATTCACATTTGTTTATGTAAACTTTTTATTTCCTCTTTGATTTCTTCCCTAAGCCAACGATTGTTCATTACTTCCCTTAAAGAAAATATTTCCTTGCTGAGCTTCAGTCTGTTTGATCTATCGAGAAGTGACAAAGAAGTGTTGAAATCTCCTATTAGTATTGTGTTACTATCAATGTTTTTCTATAAGTCTATTAGAAGTTGTTTTAAAGTATTTTGCTGGTCTGTCATTAGGATCATATACATTGAGGAGGGTGAGTTCTTTCTGATGTACATATTCCATGATCATTAAGAAATGACCTTCACTGTATCTGATAACCTTTAGCTTGAAGTCCATGTGGTCTGATACTAGTATGGCCACTCCAGCTTTGCGGAGGTGATATTTTCTTGAAAACTTGTTTCCCAGCCTTTTACTTTTAGCCCATGGGTGCTTTGATTGTTCAGACATGTTTCTTGCAGGCAGCAGAATGTTGGGTTCAATTTTCTAATTCATCTTCCTATTCTGTGCCTCTGAATTGGCACATTTAGTCCATTGACATTGAGAGAGATTGTTGTTTTGGGGATTTGTGCTCTCTTTATGTAGAATTTTTGTACTTGTGGGGATTGTCTTAGCTTAAAGTATACCTGTTAATTCTTCTTGCAACAAAAATATGGAATGCTTTACAAGTTTGCATGATATCTCTGTGCAAGGACCATGCTCATCATTGTATCATTTCAATTTTAGTATATGTGTTATCAAACCTAGTAGGAGTACATTTTTCCATATTTTTCGCTTCTTATTACTTTGAGTGTTGTCCTTCCTCACTCCTATGGCAGACAATGATTCCTAATCAAGGAATGTATTTCAAAGCAGCATGAATAATAAATAGATTTAGAACTTTAATGTCCCAGAAATAAAAATGTGGTTTTTACTATATTATCGTTTACCATACCCTAGGCATCAGTTTTACAAAATAATTCTTTTGGAAGATGGTATATGAGTTTGTTTAATGTTGTTCCCTGAATCCTTCATTAAGAACATTAAAATAGAGCCTTTTGCTGTTCTCACCTCAGTCCTGTGTACATCTCCAGGAAAAGGTGTATGGTGTTGTCTGCACTTTGACCACCTTGAATGTATGTAGGATTTTTCTCCTGAAGGATGAGGTGAGGATCATACTGATGATTTCATTCCACCTTATTACAAGTTCAACTTGAACAGAAGGTGAGACTCATGAGGCTCCTATAAAGGACAGAACAAAGGGTCTCAGTGAAGTTTAATGGCCAACTCATATTAACAACATAGATGACTCAAAGTATCCTGTGTGCATCTTTGTGTGTAGTGAGTTTCATATCTACTGATAGTGATTGTCAGTCATGACACATGGGCAAAAGAGACCTGTAATTAAAAATCTAGTTCTCTGAGCAGAGTGGGGTCTCTGAGGTCATTGAACGAGTGTGTAGTAATTTATTACTAAGCACATAAGTATTTTGAATGATGTGTACTTTTCGATCTAAAATTAATTCCAAATATGTCTAAAACGACAGTGTCCTGACCTCGCACCTGGCTTTTCTCACCGAGGCCACTTGGAGGTGCCGGGGTGAGTTTCCCTCACCGCCCTGATTAGAGCCCCGGCAGCTGAAGACCTCTGCAACCAGCCATATGTACGCTTAAGACCACCCTTCCCAAGCTTGAAGGAGCCTCTTGCATGAAGGAACTGGAAGAGGAACCCAGATGTGCGGGACCGGGGGATAGGTTCTCCATGGCTGCTCAGATCAAGACTGTGCCCCCTTCTTCCAAATCCCCCATCTTTTAATAATTAAGTGCTACAACCACGAACTGCCCCTGGATCCATGTAATGCCATCAATGGCCAACATCCAGAGACTGGATCTTATTTAGAAGACAGCAACTCTGATTGTCCAGTTCTCACTCTCAGAGGACCTGGTAGGCTTCTGTGAGTATTTTGCCCGCATGGCGGAGTCTTTGTTTCTGGTCACTGTTTCTTTTGAGGTACAGAAGCTGCTTAATTTAAGATAGTTCCCTTTGTTTATCTCTGTTTCCAGTTGCTTGGCAAGTGGCGTGTTATATTTGAAGATACCTTTAGCTTCAATGTTGTGGAGGGATTTGCCGACCTTGTCATCAATGAGCCTGAGGGATTCTGGTCTGATGTTGAGGCCTTTGACCCATTTTTATCTGACTTTTGTGCATGGTGTTAGGTAGAGGTCTGAGCCATTTTTTTTTTTTTTGCATGTATCTGTCCAGTTTTTTTCTGCACCGTTTGTTCAGAAGGACTCTCTTGATCCACTTCACATTTCTTGTTCCCTTATCAAAGATTAGATGATTATATATTTGAGGGTGTGTGTCAGTATATTCAATCCTTTTTCATTGGTCTGCAGCTCTGCCTTTGTTCCAGTCCCATGCTGTTCTCATTATTATCGTTTGTAGTAGAGTTTGAGGTTGGGGAAGGTGATGCCTCCATTGTCTTTTCCCCAAGAATTGCTTTAGCTATTCGTGTGCGTTTGTTGTTCCATGTGAATTTCAGGAGTGCTTGATCAATTTCTTTGAAGAATGTCATGGGTATCTTTATAGGGATCAAGTTGAATTTTTACAATGCTTCGTGGAGAATTGCCATTTTGACAATGTTAAATCTCCCATTCCATATGCAGTATATATGTTTCCATTTCCTCGTGTCGTTTTTAATTTCCTGATGTATAGGTCCTTTACCTCTTTAGTTAAGCTGATTCCAAGGTTCTTGAGTTTCTGCGGCACGATTTTGAATGGGATTGCTTTTTCATGTCACTTCCTTCTCTCTCATTACTTCCATATAAAAAAGCCATAGACTTTGGGTATTGAGTTTATAGCCTGCAATTTTACTATAAATGTCTATTGTCTCTGGGAGTTTTTCGTAGATATTTTAGTATTTTTGAATATAGTATGATATCTTCTGTGAATAGTGAGAGATTATTTCTAACTTTCATACATGAAAAACCCTTAATATCTTTTCCTTATCTCTTTTCTCTTCCAAGTACTTCCAGTACTACATTGAAGAGAAGTGCCAAAATGAATTTTTACTTAGCACATTCTGTCTGTAAATTTCTATCGTAAGAACGGTGGAAGAAACAATGATATCTTAGTAATTTACAAGTAAATTATAAAGACAGATAATTTAAAAAATTTCTTTGTATAAATTTCAAAATGTGTAGCTTTTATTAAATATATTAAGACTAAATCGTAGGTCTTGATTATACCATGAAGATTATTTTCCTGTTAGAAGTTACCCTTCTAAAATGCAATAAAGAGACACATTTTGAAAATGTTGATTATTCGTTAATTCAGTCAATGTATGTTAGTAGTCTGGTTGTGCAGTGCCAGCAGGAATTCAACCTGTACCCTCAGGTGAGTGCATCAACAGTCTGATGGTGTCTTCATGCTTCCCGATAACCTCATATGGCCAGTGTGCCTCTGGCTGTCTCCCAACAACTCAGGACTATGTTTCCCGAGAAATTAAACTCCCGAAAGATATGTGGGAGCCATGTTAACAAACCACCCCAGGCTCAGCTATACAAGCTAATGGATTGGTCTTGTTTCAGAGACCCATAGACAAATCTGGCAGATATCAACAGCCACAGTTAACCTTGGACCTGCAAAAGGCTGAAGATACTAGGGTAAATCAGAGGGAGGCAGGTTAGTTTGGTGCCCACCCAACCAGAACCCAGTGCAGCCACTAGCTCCCACAATCCAAAATCGCCACCATGCTCTCCTCTGGTTTCCATCGTCTCAGGATGGCTCTCACTGAAATATAACAGCTGAAAATTAGGATATGCGGGTTTTGTGACTGAAATCTCCAGGCTTTCTCTGGGCAGGATGGGCATCCCACCCCCACTGCCCTGTACTTACGGAAGCCTCAGCAGTCATTTCCATACCTCAAAGCTACTCCAGGCTTACCTTCCTGATAAAAATGCTAAATTCCTTGCACAAACATGATGACCTCTTAGTACCTGTACGAGACCCTTAATGCACAAAATAAAAAGGAGACAGAGAGAAAGAATTAAAGAGCCTGCCATAGAGACACACTGGGTGTGGGGGTAGGGTGTTGGGGGATGGTTTTAGGGAACCAGGAATATTGGTTTTGGGAAATGTACACTAGAGGAGGGACGGATGTTGGATCTTTGTATGACTGGAAGCAAATTATGAATAGATTTGCAATGGTCTATCTCACAGATATTGGATATAACATTAAAAATATATATCCTTCATTTGTACCTCAGAATACTGATGGATCTTTAAAACCCAGCATATCTATTTTTGTGTTCTCTGTAGGAAAAAAATGTTAATCAGCTGTGTGCCAATAGCTTGTAGAAAGCTAAACACAAAGATATATCAATGACTGTCTTTGGCATGAATACTGTAATTGCAGCTATGTTATGTTTTAGAATCAGTTCATGCACAAGACCTCAAGAGGAGCAGTGGCAACGTGCACCAATGTTGAATGGATAATGTTTCAGGAGCTTACAAGGGAGATGGGAAGATTTGGCATGAGTAAAGGGAAGAAACAGAAGAGTGAAGTACTAATAAGTATCATGAGAAAAATGCAAGGGAGGACATTTCCTGGCAAGTGTCACACTTTGTTGAGATTTTGGTGAGGATAAGTATTAGAAAGTATCTTTCCCATTTAGTCGTAAAAAGGTAAGTTTGATGGGTGTATTTAAAATTTACTTTAATGATTAGAATTACCAAGAGATACAAAGTTACAAAGTTGCTCATAATTGAGTTTCAGTCATCTAATGTTCTAGAACATTTCCAGTATATTGGGGCATTTTTGAAGGAATATCCCTGGTGCGAAGACTAGGGCATCTGAATCTTAACACATTTCACCAAATATATGATCTGTACTCACATGATTTACACTGTCTCCCCTGCTCTTTGATTTATGTTTTCATGCAATATTTCCTTGTGACCCTCACCTCAAGTATGGCTCCCTAATTAAGACAAGTACATGTTTCTGGGGCACTACATATTTTTTGGTTGCTGGGAGAGTCTGTAAAGCAATGCTCAGGAGGTGTGGGGGCCCCACAGACAATTTTCAGAAAAGGGATTGAAGTTGGGGAAGGTGTTCCCTTCTTCTTTTTACCAAAGATTGCTTTAGCTCTTCATGGGAGTTTATGGTTCTGTATGAGTTTCAAGAGTGTTTAATCTATTTATTTTAAAAATGTTATGTGTATCCTTATAGAAAGTGCATTAAATCTTTATAGAGCTTTGGTGTGTATTGTCATTTTGACAGTGTTAAAACTCTCAATCCATGAGCATGGGATGTGATTCCATTTCCTCATATACTCTCTTATTTGTGAAGTAGTGTTTTGTAGTTTTTTTTTTTGGTATAGTTCCTTAACCTTTTTAGTTGATTCTATTATACTCTATTTTCTGAGGTATTATTGTGAATGGGATTGTTTTTCTCTATCTCTTTTTTCTCTTTCATTATTAATATATGGGAAAGCCATGTAGTACCAGATATTGATTTTGTAATATGCTACTTTACTAAACAAATCTATTGTTCCCAGGAGCTTTTTTGGAGATTCTTTGGGATTTTCTAAGTATAGTATCATGTTATCTCCAAATAGTAAAAGCTTGAGTTCTTCCTTTTTTATATGGATGCCCTTGATATCTTTTTTGTTTACCAAAATCATATGGCAAGTACTTCAAGTACTATGAAGACTAGGAGTGTTGAGAGTGGGTAACTTGTTTTGTGCCTGATTGTATTCTGGAATTCTATTTCATT